CGATGCCGAAGAGTTTCTATTTCTATCTCATGGAGAAACTATTTCTTCATAAGAAATCGTGTATACGCATATCTTTGTATTGACGTAATGAATTGAATACAGGAATCACACTCGTGTACCCATACTTTTAGGTCTGATTAATGAGTTCGAACGCTACCACCTTAGTTTTCTGTGAAAAACGAAATCTGGGAAATAAAGGACAGTCACGTGATTAAACTGACGATGAACGGCTGGAAGGAATGGCTTAGCCTTCTCAGTTGCTAGCCTTCACTCATTGCAGTCACTTTCATTTTTCTTTCTTTTTTCCTTTTTTTTATGTTTTTGTTTAGTTTCTATTTTCCGAGCTGATACCAGTTTATTTTTTGAAATTTTATTTTACATATTTTTGGCCTAATTATGATAATTATTCGATGTTCTGGGACGTTCCGGAACGTTCCGGGATGTTCCGGAATGCTCCATGTTCCTGGTTTTATCGACGGCCCTTTTATCCATCTAAAAATTATTTATTCATATATACGCGACCATTTGAAAATTCGAAAGAGGGAATTCTCACGAGTATCATCAAATGGTCTGAAATTGGGCAACAAACTACCCAAGGTAAAAAGGTGTATTATTTCTATGTTAGCCTTTGAGAAAGTAGATTTTAGACATTTGAGCAGATGCGAGCAATTTGACGACTACAGTTTTGACTGGCTTTCTTGACAGCTGACACTGAACTCGTTTTCTTTTTTGACAGCTGATTTTAGCAACATTTGACGGTTCACTGTTAACCACACGGAGACCGTCAAAAATATATCAAGTATTTTTATGCATGAAACAAATAACAGAAAAAAAAAACGAAATCAATATTCCTCAATATCGTGCTGTGAAATTTCGGTAATACCTGTTGCAAAGTTTTTGTGGTTCACGTTTTTCTTTTTTAATCCCGAGCACGATCCAGCAACGAGTTTGTTATTTTGCGTGCGTTGGCCAGGCCTTTGACAAAAGCAAAGATGCTTGCAACCATATCGAATGAAGAAGTTCCGGAAAATATCTCTGGGTGCATAATGGTGCTTGGGGCTAATATTCTCCGGTACAGCATGTGTGTCAGGTGTATAACATATGCAATATCACTGAGATTAAAAAAGAATCGACGCATTTTTCTGACACCAGTAGCTTGTGAATTAAAATTCAGTAATGCTAGCGTAAATACATACATAAGCATACATACATATTGAAGGTACCTGAATGTTTTTGGTGCATATTCAGCTTCCTTAATAAAAGTGGCATTGCAAAATTTTCAGCAGTTGATAGAATAACTTGAACCTAAGTTAACTCCTTCCTTCGATAAAATTTTTCATTATTCCTGCGTACCGACCACGTTCGTGCATGTAGGTGTTAGATGTGAATTGAAAATAAAGGTAAACGTTGAATATTGAAAAAAAATTTGCGGTAAACTGACTTGGTTACTAATTCATTTTGTAAAATACAGGCCTCGGATATTCAGTCAACCTTCAAATTCATCTCGCGAATGCTTTTTTTTCAGTGTTTTTAAGAAGAAAGAAAGCTTTATGACGATTGTGAAAATTTTACAAATCTATCACATTCAGAAAGTTTCTATGGCCTAACATCACAATCGTTCCTTATCGAAGCCAGTGAATTTCCTGGTGCACGCTAAAAACTAGAACCACATGCAATCGCAGCGCGAAACAGATAGTAAATACATTAGGGTGTAAATAGCTTCTAAGTAGTTTGAGGGCATGTAAACTCAGTTGTTAACTCAGAAACGAAGATGGAACGACCCTTCAGTATACTCTGCTCCGTGGAAAACTGATAAGAGCGTTATTGATTTCTTGGAAAGAGCTGCTCAGCTGCTCAAGATATGTTTGTGTGATCTGGCAGAGCCATAACTCTTTATCACAGCGGAACATTAACAACTGTAAATTTGTAGTGAGGTCGTTTTCATTCAGTGGACTAAATTATATGTTGGGAAAGTGTTCAACACAGTTGTTTTTGCTTCATGTTAGATCGATATAAACGTTAGGGTACTGATCATCGACATTAACGTCCTATTAGTTTTTTAAACCTAAAATCGCTTTCTAAAATGTTTTTGCTCTGCCAAACTAACGGGTAACTAGGAAAAATATCAGTTTCCTCTGACCCACCTTTCAAAGGTTTGTTGCACTGAAATACAACCACGGATGAGGTCCAAATTTCACAAATGTGGGCTGAGCGGCCACCAAAACACTGAGTCCACTGGTGCTAATCAAGTTTTAAAATCCTGTGTCACCGTGACACAAAATTAATGCAAGAGAATTTGGTGGAGACACTTAAACGTGTCGTGTGAATGATTAAACAAGCTCTTTTTCCTTTTAGCATTGACAGAAAAGTGAATGTGTTTGTAGTGCACAAGGGTGACTGGAAAAGCACCTGCTGTGATTAATATTAATGCCATATGAGACAAATTAACGCACAAAACATCGGCACCAAATTAGAAATGGATCGTGTAAAACTTCAGGCTTTGTTGCACATAACTACGGTTTGTTTACTAATAAGTAACTGTTATTGTAACATTTGCCCGCTGTATGTGAAGTTTCCAAGTTGCACATTATGATTTTGTAGGCAATTTTCAAAGGACGACGATACGATACACGTATATTGACATTTGATATATGCAATCATTAGCCAATTTTATCAGTAGAAGGAAGGTACATTGATCATGAGGCGGTGACTGTCACGTTTTGTTTTGCGAATGACTCAAAATTAACCATGGCATGATCTGAAAAAAAAAGTCAAAAGTAAACTGTTGTAACCTTTTCCGTTGCCTTTTCCATTGCTGATTCATAGACAGTATGAGGTCGCTGGTTTCAGGCTACTTCTCTGGGAAAAAAGAACAGTGAATCATTAACGAAGGTAGTAATTATGCAAAAACAGCTATGCAATGTTAAAAGTAGTTTTAAATTGTTCGTTTGTCAAACAGGCGCCTTTTGACAGTCATTAGTAATATTAATATTAATATTGTTTATTATTTATTCATTTACACTTCCTTCTTGATGCTGATATCGTATTTACGTTCGTCACCTTTGGAGAGCTTATTTCGCACTCAAGATTGAAATACAGCTCAGAATATCGTATAGTTCAGGTAATACTGGTACACTGGTTTTACAGTTAGGAATATGGCTGAAAATGACGACTTCAAATCGAAACTAATATCTCTTTGCGCTCGGATACAGTCGTCGGAAGATAGATTTTCCTACACTCTTTTTTTTTTTTATAAGAATATTGTTTTCCGGCCGAGGCTGAACATTCTTATTTTTCCGCCGATTTTAGGTTGAAAATATTCTTGTCGATATTCTTAGATTAAAGTGCATGGCATTTATGTTTTCGAATGTATTTGGTGTCTGTATGGTGTTAAATTAATTTTGGAGCCAGCCTGCAGGTATCAAAACTTGATATCACGCACGTAATTTCTTGCAAAAATGGTATTAGCATCGAACATACGGCATGCAAGTGCTGTTTTTGTTCCTTTTTGGCTAGTTTTGCCGTTTAGAGAAATGAATAATCTCATACAGTTTAATTAAAAATCATATAATTGTATTGTATTTATAAATTTTCAACACACAAAATTATATTCTTAATTTTCAAACTCTCAGCCTCGGGTTTATTCGTAAAATATTCTTAAAATTTCGTAAATTTCAGCCTCGATATTCTTATGAAATATATTCTTATAAAAAAGAAAGAGTGTACTTGTCATCAGTTAACAAATATTCCACGATCGCGCGTTGGAAATGAAATGATAGCTAGCCAATTACGAGGGAGGTGACGCCGAGTTGGCTACAATTATCTCATATACAACAACGGCGAGTGAAATAATTGTTGCACTAAAAACGACCCCAGTATATATAGAAAACTAAAAAAAAAAAAAAAAAAANACCAATTTGTAGCGTATGGTATATGCTCATTTAACGTGATGGCTAAACCAATGAAAAATCTTGAATTGCATTATCCGACGATCCAGTTTTTTTTTTTTTATTAAATCGTGTAGAAAATAGCCCAAAACAATACGCACGCTGATTGGTTTAAAATCGTGTTCCTATAACTCGATAGAAACACAGGACTAGTACAAGGTGTTGACGTAATGATAGCGCGAGCAAAGAGAATGAACATTTGGATGATCAAAGTAAAAAGGTTATTTTTTTTTCCGTCGCGGGACTTTCGAAAAGAAGTAGAAAACTCGAAAAACCTGTGGAAACACTCGCCTATTGGCTCGTGTTCCCACAGCATTTCTCGTTCTCCCAAACTTCCACTCGTGTCTCCATTTAACAATTAGATCATGAGCTCGAGATTTCTATCGTGTGATAGTTGACGATGGTGCAGCCCGAGCCAACTATCACGTGATAGAAATCGAGAGCGGATAATCTAATTGTTTTAGTATAAATTTACTAGTCGTTCAAAATTTTCTCTAAATCCTCTTCACAGACACATCGAAAACGCAAAGAAGCGGCCGTCAATTTGTTAACAAGGGCGCACTGCTACGCTACTCACTATCTACAACACAATAGATAGTGAGTAGCGTAGCCAATCAGGGAACTCCATTCGTGATAGAACGTTTGTAAAATTATACTAAACCTCGATGGAAAGACGGGGCATGTTTTCTATTTCAGCTGATACAGAGCCATTCAGTGACGTTACCACTCAAGGCTCCTTGAAAAAATCCCGGTCGAATCCCGGGCAAAAAGCCAGGGCACTACACCGGCGCCAGATAAGAACGACTTTGGAATTTCAATCTAGCTGCTTTCCGAGAATACTTTGCTCCTTCCTATGGTTCACCAATTGAATAGTTGTCTACCATTAAGAGACAAATGGGGAAAGTTTACTGTAAACAGTCTCTCTGTTTTTCAACGCTCGCGAAAGGCAACCAAGGCGAGCCAAACGAAGAACAGATACTCCCTATCCCGTCAAGTCAGCCCGTTTTGCGATTCTATCAGCGTGTTCAACGGTAGAATAAAAATACAAGAAAATAGAGGGCTGTGAACAGTCTCTGTGAAAAGTGATGACCAAATCAAATTATATTCCAATCTGAAGGTCCCTATGCGGACGGCGCAATACAAAACTAGATTATTATCATGAGAAATGCTTTCCATTCTAGCTTGATCAGTCCTCTGTTTGTCCAAGCTCTGGTTTAGTTTCCTACTTATCTTTGTAATCCGCGTACTTTCCTCTGGACTTTTTGTTTATGCACTCATCAGCATTTATTAGTTATTTATACTTCAAATTTGCATCTCTTATAAGACTTGCACCGAAGAAGGCAGAAGTTTCTGCCGAAAAATGTCTGTTAAATTCAAAAGTGTCGTTTTATATCTGCGATACATTTAGAGTAATAATTGACAACATGTTTCATTGTGTACTTACTGAATCGTTAAGTCTGACGGGCTACCACTAACAATCTCTAGTTCTTTCACACTGGATGCCTGTCGGTTGTCTTTCTCTATGATAAGCTTGACATCACGTAACCGTGAAATGCTTATGTACAAACTCAGATCCAACAATACCGTGCATGACGTTATTAGAACCCAGTTTGCCGACACCCGTTACATAGCAGCTGCATACACCTTATTCCAAAATGGCCGCCTTTTTGGTGTTCTTTTGTTTACTTGCAAATTAGCCCTTGTTGCCACGTTCTTAAACTCGAAATTCAAAAGAATATTTTCCCTTAATTGAGGCAACAAGGGCTAATTTGTAAGTCAACAAAAGAAGACTTAAATGACGGCCATTTCGGAATAAGGTGAATAACCACATGGACCCGATTGCCCAGCTAGGAAATACCATAAAATGTCGCTTATAAACCTCCCCCCGGCTATAGGCCTATCTACCTGTAAAACAACAACAAAAAACACCCATCCAATTTCGATCGGATGTAAGCCCCTCCGTTTTTAAGCCCATCTAAAATCATTGAGTAAAAACTCGATGCATATCGATGTCATCATATGTCGTTTTGCATAGTTTCAGCTCTGTCCCATTGGTATCTTATTTCCTCCCCGATTATGGCTCCTGATTTCCTTCAACAGCAAAGTTTTGTTACTTTTCGCAGGCACATTGTTTCCAAAACCCATAACAATAATTGCTAGTGTTAATCGTGAAAATAAAGTTCCATTTATTTGTGAATTCGTATTGCTCAGTTCCATTGTTAGCCATTGAAGCACAATTTTGATCTTGTCCTATGGGTCGGCGGGCATTTGCACTCTTCCCGAAGCCGCGCCCTGAGGATTTGTAACTTGGGCTGATTGCAACCCCTCTTTTTAAAACCAAACAACCAAACAAAAAAGATATGAAAGCTCGGAAAACGGACGACAAACGCCTAACAAAGGACTCACATACATGTGGATTATATTGTAATGCAAATGAGAAAAGTCAACTAAAGAAAGGGCTAATGACTGTAAAAATCCGAAAACGGTGTTACAAGACAGATTTTAGAGCACCAATAGGGAGTGGGTATAATTGATATCAGAGATTGTTTTTGGTAGGTCTTCCACTGCCTGTTTTCCAAAGGCAGCTCTATTCCAAATTGGATTACGTAATGGGTTTCCCCAAAGATAAACACTATTCTTATGAGAAAACGAAGTTGTTTCCAGCTGGCCACGTGTCGGTAAACTAAAAGAATATAAAATAAGTAGGATTTCTTTGTTCATGCAAAAAGCAGAAAATTGGAAATAGTTTATATGCAACTCAAGAGCTGAATGATGGAGGAACTCCGCAATCCGCAATGCAGTAGACTAAAAGCGTAATATGAAATAATTTCTATTTCTATAGAAAATTGAAAATTGCAACCCTTTAAGAAAAATGCGAAAGCTCGACAAACATACGACAAACTCCCGACAAACGGCCGAGAAAAGGCTTCACATGCATGTGGATTAGAGAAAAGTCCACAATGAAGAGGCCTGTTGACTGAACCATTTAAATTAGTAAAAATCCTAAAACGGTGCTACCATCCGCAGATATATAGGGCCATAGCGAAAAAAAAATATGACTGAGGTAATAATCATGGTTAAATACTCTTCCTAGGCACATTGGGTGTTTACGATGACTATAAACAACACAGACGACAAAAAAACTGACTGAGACAAGTGCCTCGGTTTGCCTGTTACTAGCCAAGTCTTGTTATGATTGACAGCAGTTTATTATTTCTGGTTTCGTTTGATTCAACTCAGCTCGCAGTTAAAAGATTTCTCACTGAGCTCTTGAAAACGGCAGCTCTATTGAAAGTTCATAATAGAAACGATTACGTAATCGGGGTTTCTCAAAGATAAATTCTATTCTTATACGCGAAAGCTAAGTTGTTTCCAGCTGCCCGCGTATCGGTAAACTAAAAGAATATAAAATAAGTACGATTTCTTTGTCCGTTCGTGCAAAAATGAGAAAATTAGAAATAATTTATATGCAGCTTAAGAGCTGTATTCCGATGGTGTTAGGAGAAGCCAACAAATGAGGTGTTTAATGAGGCAGGTGAAAC